ATCGGCTTTAATATGCAATCTTTCCACTTGTTCCAATATGGGCAAGTATTGAGGTTTCGTATTTATTTCATAGCAAACACATTGCTATAGGCGAACTGGTTTATAAATAAATCATTTTAAAAAATGTATTATTTTTATTAACTTGAAATTAATAAATAATCATTTGACAAATAGAAATACCCAAATTAAATTTTATACTGTAAATAAAAAACTCATTGATATGACATCAATTTTTGAAATATTATAATATCTCAGGATTAAACATGAGTATGAAAATATATATGAGTATAATAAATTCTAAAAATGTCAATGTATGTCAAACTTTAAGTTACTTTGATTCAAATTTCTTACTTACAGTGGCTTACTCCAAATATCTGTATCCAAATCGCAGGATCCACCTTTATAAGGACTCTTTCCACTTGTGCCCACATGGGCGTATAAAAGTATAAAAAAAATGTGTTTATTATATAATAAACACATTGCTTTAGTCGAACTATCTATATGTTAATCGAGGTAATAATCATTTTAAAACTTTAAATTAATAAACACTTGAATAATACGGAAAAAAATTTGCAATTTTGTATATAAAAAATTCATCACGTTGATGGTTTGGTTTGATGACATTTTGTTTCTGGTAGTGCGCTAAGGCACTCTGAGATTATAATGAATCAATCGAATGACTGAAACATTTGTTTTATGTCATATTTTAATCTCATTTTAATTTTTTTTTTACTTTTTAACCAGATCAAAAATAAGTCTACACTCAATAGCTAAAACTATACACTTGATTTATATTAATGAAATAAAGTAGTGATGTAATACATTGTGGCTTGAGGCGCAACTGGTACTTTGCAATATCAAAATAAATATAAGCATATAGAAAATTAACTAACATAAATTTTTAACTAAAATTTTTAATTGATTATTTTTTTAGCATATTGAAATCATATTTAAGGCTTTGATAATAATTTTTAGCAATATTTTTTAGGATGTTTTTAAATATTAACGAAAAAGAAACCTGCTATAAATCTCTTTATCTTTTGCATATATTTTGGCACATCTATATACAATAATTTTCAAATAAAGGGTAATGTAATTATTCAATGGTTAAATACATATATTAAAAAGTTTAAAAGACAGCAATTTTGTCAAAAAAACAATTTGTATTGCTTTCTTTGAATCTATATTTTCTATAGTCTAAATGATTATATCATTACCATTAATGATAATGATATAATAATTATATTATATTAAAATTATATTAAAAACTTTAAAAGACAGCATTTTTTTTTCAAAAAAAACAACTTGTATTGCTTTCTTTGTATCTATATTTTCTATGGTCTAAAGGATTATATCCTTATATATAAATTGAAATTAAAATAATGGTTAAAATATAAAAATACCTTTTTACCACCTGGCTGTAACTTGCCACCCCGATTATGGGGTATGATGTCCAGTCGACTATTTTTTAAAAATAGCAAAAAACATTTTACAATGGCGAATTAACTGAGAATTTCACTAAACATAGTTAGGTAGTTGCTTGTTCGAGATGTGTTATTAGTTTTGATGTTGTTGGTTTGGTTCTCACAGTATAATTGTTGAAAGTCAAATTAGATCTACCCTATTTCTAATATTAATTAAAATACATATATTGCAGCAATGGCCGCCCCGAAAACTTATCTGTAAGTAAAATTATACTTCAGATCTACAATCTCGAGTTAAAATTTAACACTACTGTTTGATATCAAGCTATGATATTATGTTTATTGCATTATTGTCAATTAAAGATCTTCGTGACGTCTTTCGCAGAGTCGGAATTGCAAAACCGACTGTTTCTTCCATTTACCATTTAGAACTACTATTTTTATTATAGTGTTATATACTCAGTAACGGTTAATTTCTCACCACGACATAGCGTGTTCAGTCTAGGATTCATGTGCAATTAATAATTTCTAGTTTTACTTCAATATATCTATCCCTTGGAGCAACAAGTGATTGCGCGATGACATATTTAACATCTATATTTCAATCAGCACGAGGAAAGCGCTCCGATCCAATTGCTGTTAAAATATATATTATGTTTAGGTGTCGTTTTATGATAATTAAGACATATGTAGAATGTTTTCTTGGGAGTTGTGTGTTGTTATACGATGAATAGCTCATAACGCTAGCAAAAATGTAAAGTGGGAATTTTAATTATTTTAGTGCAAGTAATAGTTGATAACTTTTATATATATATATATATATATATATATATATATATATATTGTATGAATCTGAATTTATGTATTAACAGTCTAGTAATCGGGTAAAAACTCAATAAAAAACAAAAATTTCTTCAAAAAATTACTTTACATCCATACGTTTTGGCTATAATGAAGATTTTTCAAAATATGTCAAAATAAAGAAAACATTTTTTTTCTCAAAAAAAAAATTTTAAAAAAAAATTTTAAAAAAAAATTAAAAAATTTTTTTTTTTTCAAAAAAAAAGGAATTTTTTGTCTAATTGTTTGTCAAAAATCTTGTTTTTTCGAAGTAAATTTTTTTCAAAAATGTTAATCGTTTATAAAAAACTAATAATTTTTGGTACGGGAAGTTCCAGCAATTTGCCTTAAGGCACGATGCCTTAATTGCCTTAAGACAGAATTCCACTTACAGCTAGTTTAAAATATTTTTACCAAGATTCTACACATGTGTGGAACGAATTGCGAATCCTTTGCGCGACATGTGAGAAATTTGGAAATGCTATCTAAATGGAAGTGGATTTGAATCGCGCAGCGTGTTGAGTTCATTGCGTTTATTTATTGTCCTATTGTTATAAATAGTTAAAAAAGATCCTTCTATAATTCTTCGTTAAAATAAATTTTGTTCGAATTGTAATGCAGTCGGGTTAGAAAAGTATAAATTGTGTTTTGAAGTATTATTGTGGTCCGCAAGCATAGTTTTAAATTGTCTAGGATTTTTTGAATTATTTTGTGTTGTTGTTAACGTTTAATTAAGTTCTGGCTTGTTTCTTCTATGCTACATTATTCATTCAATGCAAAATATAAATTTTATGAGTGCATTTTTATAGAAATAACAGTGTAAATAACCTTGATCTAGTATTTTGTCAGAAATTTTCATCAGTACAATTGGAATTATTATTTATTTATGTCTTGTTGCTTTTTACCCCACCCACGTATAAGCTTATATAGAGGTCATATAAAAAAAACTGTTGAATCTAACTTGAAATTAACCATACATCTTATAAAACAATTAAATAATCTATACTTGAAAATTATATTAAAGGATTATATTAAAACAACGGATTTTTTATGGATTCACAAACATTGCTGTTTTTCTCTCAGTAGCAACGTCGTAAGAATGAAGGTGAATAGCTAGTTATATAGATTTTTACCTCCATTTTCTGTTGTTAAAAACTTCTTAAGTTCACTGATTCTTGAGATATCGGTGGTGGTCCTTTTTACCCACGGATCTTTAAACCCGGCTCTACTTTACACTGAAAATAGCAATCAAGTTACAACGAAGTCTTATAAGCTATTGTTACATTTTGCAATAAATATTTGCACTTTCCGGCAAATTTTTTTGTTTAAACATTGCACAAACGTGCGTAAAATTTATTCTAGAAGTCTCCGGCGAGAAAATCGGTTTATGATATTGTAAATTATATGTAAAGTGTGCAATGCACAATAGAAAACTCTATATATTTTTCAGTAGACTAATGGTATAATAATTTATCCTCATAGTGTTTGTAAATCGCTACTTCTGGTTTGCATATGAGAAAACTATATACGTAATGGAGTGGCCTTTGTGTATGCATTTTATGCGTTCATGAATCAGTAAAATTCTCTTAAAACTAATATTATTATTTGTGACATTAAATCAAGTAATTTAGATTATTACCAACAAGAATAAAATTTAATTCACGAAAGCAGAAACTTACAATTATTATAAAATATGACTATGTTATTCCAGCGTGGAAGTTTTTGGGCGACGTGCCAAATAACATCATTAATTGATTTAAATTAGATTTTGAGATCTTCGCTATTTTTGCTTTAAATGCAGTTAGTGCAGAAGGAGATTACAAAAACATGAATTTCAGAATAATTATGTAGTTATGCACATAAATTTTCTGTATCGTTCTAAACATATATTCATACAATTAAGCAGAGTTACATAAAAAAGTTTTATTTTGTTTTATTACATTTATTAAATGTTAACTACATTCATGTACTTGATTATAATACGAGAAACATATATTTATTATTTAAACATTGTATATGAACTTTTAGAATCTGTTATTATATATAGGTATTAACACGTACATTATTTTCATGCGCACAAGCATGGCATTTTAAATAAAACTCGTCAATTTACAATGAAAAGTTCTTATATTCCATTACTTAACATTTTTATGTAAGAAAATACGCGCTGATTCCATATACAGAAATCTAACGCTTACATCTCTTAGAAATAACTTTAAAGAAATTTTAATATAGAGAACTTCGACACCTTCGAAATTAAATATTCTAGTGTCGTCTCCTCCGATTCTTTACATCGCAATATTATATTATCGTATTAAAGAAGTCAGCAAAAATGTTTTGAAGAAGCAATATTGCGTGCCGTTTGATATATCGTCATATCATCTCACAATAAGATGTGTCAGCGTGCAAAACAAACAAGACAGTTGACACTAACTGAGATTTTATTTAGCCACGTAGAATGTACATGTCAGATATTTCGCTTGATTTCTGTTTGCACTCAATATTTGCGTCGATCTCACGTAGACAAAATTTAGAAAACTCTGTAAGTTATGAAAAGGGCTCGCTTTTCCTCTTTGCAGCGTGATGCATTTTATTTCATATACGATTCTATAGTGCATTAGTTGATTTTAAATGAACTATTTGGAGAAACCAATTGTATATTAATACTGTACATATTATTAAGGAAAAGTAATGTAATTTATTATGTTGATGGTTTGGCAACAGAAAGTTTCGAACCCTGAAGCTTGCACTTTTGTCCTCGCGCCAACATGATGAGCCAAAGATATTGTTAATTTGTCAAGTTGAGGTGCGATGTGGGTTGGCCGGTAGCTACAGATCTATGATAAAAAGTGGGAGCTCGGGTGCTTCATAATTGTAAAGCCTTTAAGTCGCGTCATCCCGGTCACCTCCTCAAATTCAGCGCCACAATCAATATAGGCAGGGTCTTCGGGATCTTGGAGTTTACTCTCCTTGATCTGCACCCAGATCAACTTGACTACGTTGTAACGTGTTTCGGGTTCATCACTGCCAATTAGTTTGGCCAATGAGGGGGATAGACGATACTTTTTGTGGATTCTTGTATTCCGTGCTGCTCGTTCCTGCAAAAATAATAAATATAAATAATATATTGATCATAAATATAAGTAATATAAAGATCAAAACTTATGGGTACTATGAGCTGTTGTAATAAATTTTGACTTTTAACAACGTTTTTAGATGACAACCCAAACAATTTTGTGATTAATTATTTATATTTATTTATTTATTTTTAAATACATAGCCCACAGATTTCTTCCAAGAAGACTCAAAAATACAATTATTTTACATTATGGATAACAATTAACATATATACAAAATTACAATATATATAGTAAAATTTAAAATGTGCTTAACATTAAACTACATATAAAACAGAATGTAACAATATTATTAATTTACAAAATAAAATAAAATAATGGAAGATATTTTATTACATACTTATTACTTATTCATGCTTCCAAGTAAGGGCTATTTTCACCTAAAAACATTGATATCAATAATTTCAAGTAAAAACCTAAGTAAGTAGTAAATGAAATCTAGTTTTATTTTTCAATATAATCGATGATTTTGTTCCAAATTACGTAGTCAATTACGTAGTAAATACCTATCATACTACATTAATTTGTTCGTTTTTATGGAGGTATTTTAGTTGTATTGATACATCTTTTTTTTCATTATTATATATATTAATTTTATTTTTCAATTACTTTTTTTGCCTCATGAATCAGTACTTCAGACAGGGTAGTAGAACTTCTCGCCCGTGATTTCGCCTCCTTTCCAGTGCGCCTCGACACCATGGTGCCTCAACTGCTAAAATAATAATAGAACTATAATAATAATAGAAAAAAGTTAATAGAACTATAGTAGCGTATGCGAATACTATCTCAAATTCTATTATATCTCATTATAATAACTTAATACAAAAATTTGAAATAATACAAAGTTTCATTAGAAAAAATTGATGTATGTGTGTGTGGGTGTGTGTATCTGTGCGTATGTTTGTGTATGTATGTGGGGATATGATTCAAAAACATTTGATTTCTATTTGTGAGGAAACGTGCTGATTAGTTTTTGGCAAAGCCAGGTCTGGCCGTTTTGAAGATACGAGGCAAAAAGGGCCCAAATTCGTAATTAAGTTATTGAGAGAACGGAGCGTCCGATTTGAATAATTCAAAAAACATTTTACTTGTATTGACAAAGTGAACAACCAGTGAAATTTTTGAGAAGGCTAGTCCAGCTTTTCCAGGGTTCTAATAAAGAAAAGTAAAAAATAATGCCATTTGGCGGTCAAAAATGGTTATTAGACATATGCACATCATATTTTATATAGATTATAATAAGTACAAATTTTGTGTACATTTATATGGGTTCCGTACCAATAATGTTCTCATAAGACGTGCCAATTAGTTTTTGGCAACGGCAGGTCCAGCTGATTTGAAGATACGCTGCAAAAACTGCCAAAAATGGTAATTCAGTTTTTAAGAGAACGGAAGGTCCGACTTGAATGATTAAAAAATATTTTACTTGTGCTGACGAAATGAACAACTGATATCGTTTTTGGAAAGGGCAGGTTCAGGTGTTTCGGAGATTTAACAAAAAAGTAAAAAAAGGCCACTTAGCAGACAAAAGTTATCGTTAGATATTTTGTCTAATCGAAGTATAATTACTTATAGTCAAATTGGATCTTTGTGCCTCGCCCTACCCTATCGTAAAGTGTTTAACATTTACCTCTAAAATGTTAATAAATTTATAAGTTTATTAATGTTAAATAAATTTTATAAGTTTTATGAAATATAATGTTAATGTACTGGATAACGTGATGAATATTGTCCAACAATGAAAATATCAATTTGAATTGGGCACAAGACTAACATGTGCCTACGTATGTATATTCTATGACAGTGTATATAAATTTGAAAGAACCTGCATTCATACGATTTGTGTGTTTACGTATGTATGTATTATATGCATGTGTAATATAAATTCAACTAGACGGGTAAGGTGTATGGTTCTATCCAGCCAGCCACTATTTGCATGTACAAATATATGAGCGCGAGAAGAATCATCGTAAGGAATTGCGATATGGCTGTGTCTCGGTTGCAACGAAACGTAAATTTATACAAATTTGATTCGACTTGTTTGAGAGGTCGGGGTTGATATGGTGCAGCGATTGACGCTACCCGAGACCGCAGGGTGCCGCCGAGCTACGTGTCTGCATTTGTTTCAATGTTGCCTTTAGGTAGTGCCTGTTCCCTCATGTTTGCATTTATATATGAATGAATTTTGAATATGGATGTATGACTGTATATGTATGTATGTATGTATGTCTGTATATGCGTGTATGTGCAAATGTATTTCTATGAATATATATATATATATATATATATATATATATATATATATATATATACTGGTATAACACGTATACCATTATATATCGTATATATATATATACTGATATAACACCATATACCATTGGTGTTCCAGAACTAAGTCAAGCCAAAACGGGGTGATTGTATTGTCCTTAACTGTCCTGAAAAAAATTAGAAAAGAAATATCTCGCGTTTTTTGGAAATTATAAGCTTTTAAGTGTAACCAAGAGCTTTGGTAAAATGATCATTTATTGGTTATTTTGGTTAATTTTTATTAATTTTGTTCATTTAAACTTTGGTACTTCAACCTTCAATAACATTTCTAGGACCACAGTCAATAATAATGATTTTCTCAAGTCCTATATTATAATTAAGGTTTATGTTAAAAATTAATGTCCATCCACATGACGTACTGTGTCTACAGATGTTGCACATTCGCATAACGTGCTGTGAGTACAGATGTCGTCCATGGACTACTACTACAATATTTATCATCATGAATTAATGTATTGAGAATTCTAGTCTTTTATTGTAATTGTTAGATTTTTTCCTCCTGTATGCTTAAAGTTTTTGTTATCTATAGCACTAAAAATAAATTAAAAAAAACATATTTTCGAGTAAGTTATGTTTCAGCTTTCTTTTTTCAAGTGTCCGTTCCGACTTTTTTTTAAAAAATATGGTAGCCTTAATAATGTTTACTATAATTGTTAAATGAGACTTGTATCAGAATCAGAATTATTGATTTGGATACCGATTCCCTGCAGCGTTTTCTTTGGAGCCTCAGTCATATCATAATAAAGATTAAAATAAGACGATTTTCATATCAATTCAATTTAAAGCAAAGTCATTTTTCTTATTATTTAACTATACTTTTCTATCTTTTCTAATACATTAAGCAGAAATATATATATATATATATATATATATATATATATATATATGTATATACATAAGAAAATAATATAGATGAGAAATTAGTATATATACCCAGCAGCGTATCTACTAGGGATATATACGTTGACAAATTGACTTAATTTCTGAATACAATTTTTTGTAAGAATAAATGCTGTTTTTTAATCACAATGCATTGAAGTCTAATATTTATAGTGTCCAAATTTGCAAAATTCCAGTTTGTTACTCATTGGGCAACAGTTTCCAGTTAATACCAAAATGTTTTATTTACTTACACTGTATAGTTTGAACTTTTATGTGACCTTCTGTAGAAAGAAGAACAATCATGGCATGTAACGATAGTTGAAAATATATAAACTATAACTACAATTAATATTATTGAAATAATTTAATTCCATAGAATGCAATAGTAACTGTACTATTTCCCATTTATCACATAACGGAATTGCATGTCAAAATCCATTAAGAACGTGCTTCACTTGCCTTTTATCTAGACTTTAACTAATACACAGTATGAAATACTGTGTGTAATAATACTAAAGAATAAATTATAAGGGGGAGCGGTAATCTCAACAGCTTAAGAAAAATGTAGTGTAAACCACGGCAAAGTCAGTGACTTATGCTTCTCCACGATGGTGAAGAATCAAATACATCGAGGCACCCTCAGTTTTCTAGCTTTCCGATTTTATTCTACTTAATCTTTTCGCTCTGTGTTTACTTGAAATGAAAAATTATTTTATTACCATAATGCTAATATTATATATATATATATATATATATATATATATATATATATATAACTTCACTTTCTGACTGTTAACCCCTTTTACTGATGATATTTGTCTGTCTGCGTTTATTTTAGTTAGAGATATGAGGTGATAAATAACATAAATTTTTAATTTTGTTTCTGTTTTAATGTTAATTCAGAGTTTTGTGTTTATTGTTCAATTACAATGTCATTGTTTGAAAACAATGTCCAAGTAATTTTATAGTAAGCTATAATTAATATAGCATTTGAAAATAAAACTATATTTAGGAGGGACTGGGTACGGTTGTGCCAGGATACGGTGACAGTCGCCACAACAGCTAAAAAACTATTATACTGATTTTGACATAGGGTCCAAAAGGAGAAAGACGTAGTACGTTTGTTTGAACATGTTTTCATTTTTATTATTATTTTTTATTTGTAGGCAGCATTGCTTTTAAGGAGTCAAAATAAAGCTATTTTGCCATATGTTGAACATCAATAGTTAATTACCAGCAATTTGTTTTTGGGTTGATAATTGTTAATAAAGCTCACTTAATCATTACGATGATTTGTTTTCAGAAGTGTACGTTGGGTACGGTTGTGACATGTGGTTGTAGGTTTTGTTCTTTTCGGGTGAAGGTTAAACAGACAAAGAAAAATATAACTTAACTAAGACATATACGAGAGAGAAAGGAAAAAAAATTAAATACAAGAAATAAAGATATGACAGAGATTTCTTGTTAAATTTGTGTAAAAACATATGTTTTGTTATATATTGTTATATTATATACGTGAGCTTTGTTCAAATAATTATGTTGTGTTGTGTTACATATTTCTGACAAAGTCGCTATTATTTTTCAAACTGTTTTTATGTCTGTCACAACCGTCTTTGGGGTATGGACAATTATGATACTCGCCCTTCTTTGATTTGATTTTATGACTAATCCATCGTATTTAAGGGCAGTCTTTCAGTATTTCCACGTAGACAAATGTTCAAATTACTATTGAATTTAATTTTCTCCCAACTAACTGGTAAATTAACAAAATCATGACTGATTAAAAAAAAACATGGCACAACTATACCCAGTCTTCCCTAAATAATACTTCCAGCATTGTGAGCCTTTTGAAACTAGTTTATCTTTTGCTCAAATAAGTCTCAAAGAACTATCTCACTTAACAAATATATATCACAGCAATTTTCGTTTTTATTCCAACCTATATGAACTAATATTTTTACATGCAGATAAATGTATCAATTCGCGAATATTTGTCAGAGTATATGTGCCTCTAGAATCTTTTATACTAATAATCATAGTCACCTGACTTGAAAATTTGTCTAAATCTTCAGTCGGAAACCGATAGGGCCTGCGGCTCCGGTCTTCGGGGGATTTTGTTAGTAACAAAAGCGAAAATAAAGATAAAGAGTGCATCATAAATCCCCACACTCGCTTGTAAGTCATCACAGCACAGGGGTGAATACCCCGAGGAAGGGTCCCGAGTGCCGGTAACGCGCCCCTGACGGCACGAGTGCGATGAACCGGGCCAACGGCGACCGAAGTAAAAAGGGCGCTAGGAAGGAAACTGTTACTTGTTAGGTAGAAAATGCGAATCTTTCAGGTTTCTTTTCGGTTTTGAATTTCTATTGATATTATTTTTATGTAAAAAATATCTGTTCGTACGCTTTTGTGGAATATTGAAGCATTCGAAACATTTTGTTGTTTCGGGTAATAGTAAATGTAAATATTACTTCATAATCCAGAACAAT